ATTTTAGGTTGAGGGTTTCAATTAGGTTTCTCAACTCAAGAAGACTTCCTTCTTTTAGGCCTCCCATGCAGGATTACTGCCACCCTCTGTGTTTCCTGACACTATGAAATGATTCTGGCTTGGCTGGTAGAAACAGAGCTTTCTTTTTAAGTTCCAGCACAGGGGGAACTCACACTTTTGTCTGTTAGATGGCATCTTTTCTTCAACTTGACATCCTTTGCTGTTAGTAACCATGATCAGTTTGGCATGGACACCTGAAACACAGTCTTAGGAATCTTCATGGAGAAATAATGAGCTTTCCCACGGCACTTCCAGCCAAATCGTCCATCATTTGTAGGCATTGCAGAGTTGTAGAGAGCGCCTATGTGAGTTATCTTATGATTGTAGAGAATATAAAAATCTATAAAATATTATTACAAAAAACTGTTATATTTTAATTACTTTAACCATTATAATATTTCATTATTTTATTTTGATGTTTTAATATGCATTTATTTATTCCTGAGAAACAAAGCTTCTTATTTTTTCTTCTTCTTCTTCTTCTTCTTCTCACAGTATTTTTATTTATAACAATAAAAAAGTATTTTTGTAACTATATATATATATATATATATATATATATGGACAAAAATAAATAAATAAATTAATTATTTAATAATAATAAAAAAAAAAAAATTTAAACAAGTTTGCAAGTTCCTTAGGTTCAAAATGTGCTGTGAAATATCATGTGGCAGTACAACTTTTTTTTATTTTCACCTGGACCTTTTGTTGATGGCTTTGACAGGACTGTGGGCATCTCCATGGAAACCCAGTCTCTGTCTGCCGATAAATCTCCAGGAGTGGAGTGTGTCTCCAATTAGACCAGAGTTGTCAGATGGACTTGGAGGACTTTGCATGAGTTGTAGTTGTGGTAACATTTGAATCAATATGTGAATCTGTCTGTCTGACTCTTAAATATTATATCTTAAAACTTGGCCAAGTTTTACACAAAAAAGTAAAAAAGTGGAATACTTCTTATTAAAGATAATAATATCACTCCCTTCTGGGGGCTCATAACAACTTCTGTGATTTTTTTTCAGCTTGGCCCAATTGTTAACACAAATTATGTTTTTTAAAGTGATGAAAGGATCTTTTTGACATGTCCGTTTTGATGGAATGAAATATCAAACATAAAATGAGGGTAAAAAAGGTAAAAATCTTAGGTTAAAAGCAAATGGTCCATTACACGACAAGCCTGATTTAAGGACAAACTGTTTTACATCATTTTTACTCTATGTGCTTTGATATGCACCTATCTGGTACAACCAGTAAACAACCTTGGACAGTTAAAGCGTTACATAGAATGTCATGTATATGCTAAATAGAAGTCATCAGCTTTCATGGTCAGTTTTGACCAGATCATGATAATGATTAAAAAGCCAGCCAAATCAATGCCCTGCATGGGCTCAGAAAGATAGACTTCATCTCCGTATGTTACATAGAACAAGGAAGGAGGTGGTGTTCACAAGAAATCCAGTCTTGACTGACTTTCTATTGCTACCATTTTTTACACTTTTGTTGTCATAATACTATTAAAAACTTCCCCACTGTCCTTATGAAACGACTTTAGTGGGAGTGTTGTGGTGTTTTATTGTTCTCACATTATTATAGAACAGAGAATACCAGATCTGGGGTTCATTTATAAATGTTAGTGCTCCATTTGTCTTGCTGACGCTGTTATTGACACTGACAGTGTTATTCAAGAGAAGGTAAGTCTCGTTGGGGATTGATTGTGTGGTTATGAGTGATACTAGTGTCAGGGAATTCCCTCACTGGAGCACTGAACTCCTTTATAGTAAAACAGGATTGTTCAGTATAAGTTTTGAATTTGATGCAGCAGGATTAAAGGATTTATTTAGTAATAATGATTCGTTATTGACTATTCTGTCGTTATTCATTTTTTATTAGTTGTTCCAAACCTGTATGCACTTTTATTTATTTTTTCTTCAGCACAAAAAGTGAATTTTTGAAGCATATTTTGACATTATATGGGGTGGAGACTATAAAAAGCATAATAACATTATTATTATTATTATTATTATTATTATTATTATTTTTTTTTTCACTAATCTACTTTGGCTTTTGAATATCACTCCCTTCTGGGGGCTCATAACAACTTCTGTGATTTTTTTTCAGCTTGGCCCAATTGTTAACACAAATTATGTTTTTTAAAGTGATGAAAGGATCTTTTTGACATGTCCGTTTTGATGGAATGAAATATCAAACATAAAATGAGGGTAAAAAAGGTAAAAATCTTAGGTTAAAAGCAAATGGTCCATTACACGACAAGCCTGATTTAAGGACAAACTGTTTTACATCATTTTTACTCTATGTGCTTTGATATGCACCTATCTGGTACAACCAGTAAACAACCTTGGACAGTTAAAGCGTTACATAGAATGTCATGTATATGCTAAATAGAAGTCATCAGCTTTCATGGTCAGTTTTGACCAGATCATGATAATGATTAAAAAGCCAGCCAAATCAATGCCCTGCATGGGCTCAGAAAGATAGACTTCATCTCCGTATGTTACATAGAACAAGGAAGGAGGTGGTGTTCACAAGAAATCCAGTCTTGACTGACTTTCTATTGCTACCATTTTTTACACTTTTGTTGTCATAATACTATTAAAAACTTCCCCACTGTCCTTATGAAACGACTGTAGTGGGAGTGTTGTGGTGTTTTATTGTTCTCACATTATTATAGAACAGAGAATACCAGATCTGGGGTTCATTTATAAATGTTAGTGCTCCATTTGTCTTGCTGACGCTGTTATTGACACTGACAGTGTTATTCAAGAGAAGGTAAGTCTCGTTGGGGATTGATTGTGTGGTTATGAGTGATACTAGTGTCAGGGAATTCCCTCACTGGAGCACTGAACTCCTTTATAGTAAAACAGGATTGTTCAGTATAAGTTTTGAATTTGATGCAGCAGGATTAAAGGATTTATTTAGTAATAATGATTCGTTATTGACTATTCTGTCGTTATTCATTTTTTATTAGTTGTTCCAAACCTGTATGCACTTTTATTTATTTTTTCTTCAGCACAAAAAGTGAATTTTTGAAGCATATTTTGACATTATATGGGGTGGAGACTATAAAAAGCATAATAACATTATTTTTATTTTTATTATTTTTTTTTTTTTTTACTAATCTACTTTGGCTTTTGTTTTGTGAGAGTTTTACTGAATTTTTCAGATTTTCTGTGCTGACTAGTCAAATAATTTGATTAAAGAACAAATCTTTCTGATTTTTCTACACTGAAGTTAAACTGCCTCAAATAACTATTTGTTTTCAATTTGAGCATCACTTCACATTCGTTCGTTCATTCATAAATAAATAAATAAATAAATAATCAATCAGCTGATTCATTTAAACAGCTGATTCATTCATAAATGATGCAAGTGACTGTATTTATGAATTGGTCTCTGAATCATTGGCTCACTTGATTCATTCAAAAACGCAGTTCATTCAGTACTGAAACACTGCAATGTGACAGCCCTAATAAATACCATGATAATGATTATAGTGTTAATGTACCATGGTATTTGCATGGGCAACCTTCTGAAATACTTGATTCTGATTGGTCAATAGCAGCATTCTGCAGTCATATAATTTTATAGTCTGAGGCAACTGATTCCCAACATAGCTGTCATAGTTTCTTACCAGAATCTTTTAATCTTTTCTTCACGCCAAGGCCTTGCTGGAGTTTGCTTTCTGATAATGATAGTCTTGACTGTACATTTATCCCTAATGTATCATCTGAACTTTCTGAACTCTGTTTAGTGGAGAGTGTTAGATTGAATGCCATTTCTCTTGTTTCTGTAATGAAGCGTAATGCAACATTTGCTGGCAATATAAACTGTTAGCATTAGCTTTTCCTTGCAAAATAATTTCAATCTTTTGTCCCAATGTCATGTTTTTCATTATCATTAACCCAGTCTAAGCTGAATTTACTTAAGATCACTTTCTATGTTCTCCTTTAAAAGTCAACTATGCTTTGTTTTGATTAAACCTCTCTTAATGTAATCCAGTGTTTTTCTGTGCATCAGCTTTGGGAATAACTGTGATAAATGTTCAGGCAAATGGGGTCCTAAGCTTTATCAGCTGTATAGGCTGAGTTTGGACAAGGAACTCGAGTTAGTCCTTTGTTGTACTATGGTAATTACTAAGCGTGGGTGTCCTTGAAAATACATTACCCTGGGAGAACGGTCCCAGCAGAGCCCTGCAGCAGAAAATGAAAACCAGCACTGTTTTATAGGCCCTTTGAGAGCTTAAAGCTTGACTATTGAATGAGTCAATATACATCACATAAAATGTTTCTTAACAGCACAGGCTTTATTAGGAATGTGTAGATCTAATCGTGCAGAAAAATGTGGTAAATTGCCAGAAATGTCTGCAATGCAAATAATCTCTTCTGTCAACATAGATAGGCAATGTTAGTTTTACCCTGTCCAAATGCATGCATGTACTTAATAAATTTGATTATGTGGTGCAGTGTTAAACTAAGATGTGCACTTGACACTCAAGACAAGTCAGACAAGACTTCAGACATTGTGTCCATACAGAAATGTGGCAATACCATGGAACAGTAATGACATCTGATGGTAATACCGTTCTGATATTATTTAAATGCACTGTTACTCACTATAGTATTCATGTACATGGTGCATAAAAACAAACAAACAAACATGATATGGATGTCTTTGATTGTTGTGAGTGGCCCCTTACTTGTTCATAATTCTGAAAGCAACAAACAAACCCAGCAGTTTTCTGACCCATTGGTTTAGAGATGAACAAACTTCGGCTCGATCATGCTTGTGTTCATCACACATTTTCATTAAATGTGCCAAATGACCTACGTTGCCAGATTTGCTTTATATATTCTGCTCAGTGAAAATGTGATAAAAACAAGTCTTTTGCACAATCTATCTTCATCTATGACTCTTCTCATACACAGGTGACCACCCTGGTCAACACCAGTAACAAAGGTCCATCCAGTAAGAAAAAGGGACGCTCCAAGAAAGCTCACGTGCTGGCTGTTTCCGTGGAGCAGGCTACACAGAACTTTCTAGAAAAGGGCGAGCAGATTGCTAAGGACAGCCAGGACCTGAAGGAGGAGCTTATCGCAGCTGTAGAGGACGTTCGCAAGCAAGGTGAGCAGCTTGTTATCACCCTGAGGTACTGTCCCGAACAAAATCTGCTGCTTATTTGTTCCGGCGTCCCGTCAAGCAACCAAACATATATTAAGGGTTTTCTTTTTTTAACTCCAATGTGTGGCATAGTGGCCAATGCTCTGTCTATTAGTCATGTTTGGCTTCTTGAGAGAGTAGAGAAGACTTTTAGGGTCATGTGGGAACCAATGAGGCACATTATCTGTCACATTATCTGACCCTAAAAGACATTAATGTGTTTTTGCTGAGTTTTGCTGAGGGCTGTCAGCTTTTAGCCCGTGCGCTACAGTTTGCAGACAGCTAAGCTAAAGTTTTTGTTTCCTTTTTCACCTATAAGTCTTGCCTATTATGTAACAGCCCTTATCTGGCAGCACATTACACACTCTCTCTCTCTTACCAAGTTTTCTCTTACCATACACACCGAGTCCCTTTCCATGACTTTCATGCTCATTGGTTTGGACTGAAGTTAGTGTTTGCTCAGCCAAATTACCTCTATGAAAATAGCAAACAGTTAATGATGGTGTTTCACAGAGCATTCATCATCCCATAAACACAGCCGAAGAGCAATTATGAGGTTGCAGAGAAGAGAAAAAAGACACTTTTAAATCCCAAAAGCTGAAATGTATTAGCTGTCATTGTACCGTATTAATAATAATCTGTTTTCTCTTTTTGTGGTTTGTTTTGAGGACTCTTTGATGAGGTAATAAATGTGAAATCTTTATTTAATTTGTTTAGTTTGGTGGTGGATTAAATTACTTGTTAATATAATATTAATGGGAGTCTGGGTTGATTCTCTGTCTCTTTCTGGGACTTTAAATATGAACTAATTCAGAGGAAAACAAAGAAGAAAATCAGTGTATGAGGACCATACAACATTTTTTTTTTACTGTTCTCACAGTCATGGGAAACCTGGAAATATTGGGAAATTTTAAAATAAAGATTTACAGGCCTGTAAAAGTCATGGAAATATAATAATATAATTATAATATTATACTACTGTTTTTGTAGTCTTGGTAAGAGCACATTTTAAAAATCTTACGTAAGGTAGTATATATTTTTCCACAGGTCCACAGTGAGATATCCCTGTTCACTGGGTTTTTAGAGTAATTTTTGGTTAAAATACACAAGCATTCTCAGGTACTGCAGGGAAGGGACTGCAGCACTGACAGATGGAGACTGAGCCAAGCCCCGGCTGCAGGAGCAGAATAAAGTGTGTTAAAATTATCTGCGTGGACCATTAGCAAGCTGACCTTTAACTTGGATGAGGTTAATGAACACAGGTTGGACATAATGGTCCGAGTGGCTTACCACTCCCAAGACTGACTGTCTGTTACTCAGTGTGAAACAGGGGTTAAAGGACAAAGAAAATACTTAAAATAGAAAGTGGAAGTCAGTCTTTTTGATCTAATTCTCACTTGTGTACCACAGTTATTGATTTATTAATTTAATGACAATTTAAAGACAAAAATGACTAAGTGAAACTATCAAACAAAAGACGATTAAAGGATTAGTTCACTTCCAGAATAAAACAATTATTTCCTGATAATTTACTCACCCCTATGTCATCCAATGTTCATGTCTTTCTTTCTTCAGTCGAAAAGGAATAATACATTTTGAGGAAAACATTCCAGGATTTTTCTCCATATAGTGGACTTCAATGGTGGTCAATGGGTTGAAGGTCCAAATTGCAGTTTCAATGCAGCTTCAAAGGGCTCTACACGATCCCAGCCGAGGAATAAGGGTCTTATCTAGCGAAACGATTGGTCATTTTCTAAAAAAAAAATTATGTGTATACTTTTTAACAAAATGCACAAATGCTCGTCTTGCACTAGCTTGCACTAGCTTGCACTAGCACTAGCCTACACGTGACATAGGCGGAAGCACCAACCCAGTGTTTACAAAGCAAACGTGCAAAGAAAGTCAAACACCCTTCACAAAAAAACAAAAAACAAAAAAACAACATAAAAACGAAGTCAGATAATTTTGAAGTTTTTCACCCTACCCTACCTTTTTTAGCCAAAGCACACAGACGAAGAACTAACTGCGCATGACTTTTACAACATGATTTCGCAATGTGTGAAGATGAGCATTTGTGGTTAAAAGTATATAAATGTATTATTATTATTTATTTATTTTTTTTAGAAAATGGCAGATCGTTTCGCTAGATAAGACCCTTATTCCTCGGCTGGGATCGTGTAGAGCCCTTTGAAGCTGCATTGAACCTGCAATTTGGACCTTTAACTCATTGGTCCTTGTTAAAGTCCACTATATGGAGAAAAATCCTGGAATGTTTTCCTCAAAAACCTTAATTTATTTTCGACTGAAGAAAGAAACACATGAACATCTTGGATGACATGGGAGTGAATAAATTGTAAGGACATTTTTATTCTGGAAGTGAACTAATCCTTCAAACTACTAGTAGTTAATTATAAGACCAAACAAGCAGACACAACAAATCTATGAAACAGTCCTTTTTCACTGTTGCTAGCTGCTCATCACCCTCCCACATGAGCTCTTCAATGCAAAATTGAATATTAAGACATTTCAGAGAAATGTAAGTGCATTTTTGTCCTGTCCAGCTGGGGGTTTGTTCACATGATTTAATAATATACTTTACTATATTTATCTTAGTGTTTCAGAAGGACAAGTATGGAGTCAAAAGACAATGCAGAAGATACACTGCTGAATGAAAACAAGACTGTAGTGGTTTTCCAACAAGGTTGCAGTAATGAGAGCTGTGGGTCATCCCAGGGATCAATAGGCTATTCAGCTAATGCTATCCTGTTTAAGTTGCTCTTTCAAGGTCCATAAAACGTGAGAAATCTGTTAATATTCCCATTCATCTCAACATTTTATCAGTCACTGTGTGTTTTTGTTTTTTGTTTTGATTTTATTTTAAATGATGAAAAACCGATGACCCATTCATCTCAACATTTTATCAGTCACTGTTTTTTATTTTGTTTTGTTTTTTGTTTTTGTTTTAAATGATGAAAAACCGATGACCCATTCATCTCAACATTTTATCAGTCACTGTTTTTTTATTTGTTTTGTTTTTTGTTTTTGTTTTAAATGATGAAAAACCGATGACCCATTCATCTCAACATTTTATCAGTCACTGTTTTTTTGTTTAGTTTAGTTTTGGGTTTTGTTTTAAATGATGAAAAACCGATGACCCATTCATCTCAACATTTTATCAGTCACTGTGTTTTAGTTTAGTTTAGTTTTGGGTTTTGGCACAAACTCACTGAATACTGGTGGGCTCATGATCATTTTCATAGTCTTAATCTGCTACCAAACTGAAGCTGAAGTAGTGGCAATCCCAATGGATGTAGTTGTGTCATCAGTTTCTCTTCATTTAACAAATCTAATTATTGTTCATATAAATAATAAGAAAACATTGACCTCTTTCACATTCTCTCTCTGGTCAAAAATAATTAGCATTAATATCTCTGTCTGACTATAGTTACCTACAGTACCTCTCTTTACAAAGTGCAAGTATGTGTGTGTGTCTAAAACCTTCAAATTATCTCTTATCAGGCAGCATCTGGAAGTAGGCAGGCTGTCAACATTGTGTCTACAAAGATGATGTCTACTCCATCTGGTTTATTTAAGTCAGCATAGATGAATTCATTGCCCTTGATACCACACAGTCCTGTCTGTTGAGTAGTTGGTAGAAACTTATGATTTAGTTTCTCTGGAGAAATAAGCATTGCACTCATTAAATATTGACTTGGTTATCTCTAACACTCACTTTCATTTATTCTGGGTCATCGGATGTGATATTACAGTCTGGTACTTTGAAAGCAGGTTTAAAACAGTTTTTAGCTTTTGATTTCTATGCCATTAGCATGACCAAACATTGCAAAAATAAGGATTGCTTCACATAGCTTGGATGAGAATTTGCCTGAATGTGTCTGTTCTTTTGACTTGGTTAAATTATACTGGGGGTAAAAAAAAAAAGAGCTAGGATGGAAATAAGATTATAACATTCTGTGGTAATCCGTGAAGGTAGAGCTGCCACAACAATGCACAGAGCCAGAGGACAGTGCTGACATTTCCCCTGGAAGTGGAGGGGCAGCAGCGAGACTGTTAAGAATAGCTGGCATTCTGTCGTTTCAGTTCACTGTGAGAGAAACAGCAGAACACGCACATACACTAAAGTGCAGCCATATTTATTGGGAAGGGACTGCAGCACTGACAGATGGAGACTGAGCCAAGCCCCGGCTGCAGGAGCAGAATAAAGTGTGTTAAAATTATCTGCGTGGACCATTAGCAAGCTGACCTTTAACTTGGATGAGGTTAATGAACACAGGTTGGACATAATGGTCCGAGTGGCTTACCACTCCCAAGACTGACTGTCTGTTACTCAGTGTGAAACAGGGGTTAAAGGACAAAGAAAATACTTAAAATAGAAAGTGGAAGTCAGTCTTTTTGATCTAATTCTCACTTGTGTACCACAGTTATTGATTTATTAATTTAATGACAATTTAAAGACAAAAATGACTAAGTGAAACTATCAAACAAAAGACGATTAAAGGATTAGTTCACTTCCAGAATAAAACAATTATTTCCTGATAATTTACTCACCCCTATGTCATCCAATGTTCATGTCTTTCTTTCTTCAGTCGAAAAGGAATAATACATTTTGAGGAAAACATTCCAGGATTTTTCTCCATATAGTGGACTTCAATGGTGGTCAATGGGTTGAAGGTCCAAATTGCAGTTTCAATGCAGCTTCAAAGGGCTCTACACGATCTCAGCCAAGGAATAAGGGTCTTATCAAGCGAAACGATTGGTCATTTTCTAAAAAAAAAATTATGTGTATACTTTTTAACAAAATGCACAAATGCTCGTCTTGCACTAGCTTGCACTAGCTTGCACTAGCACTAGCCTACACGTGACATAGGCGGAAGCACCAACCCAGTGTTTACAAAGCAAACGTGCAAAGAAAGTCAAACACCCTTCACAAAAAAACAAAAAAC